TGTCAATTATGTAAATAATTTAATAATAATTTTTTTTAGTTAAAAGCAAGAAATTTGAGTTTGAATTACGTGATAAATGAAAAAAAAAAGTAAATTAAAGATCTATTTAGTATAATAATTAAAATTCAATAGATAGTAAATAGTGAATAACGAATAACTAATGATGATAACAAGTAGTGGATAGAAGTTAGCAGATAACAAAAAACAAATAATGAATTATAAATAGTGAATTTAATTAATATAACTGTTTAATTATATAATAATTAATAATTGTTATTTAAAATTAAATGATTAATAACGATATATTTAAAAATAATTAAGTGTACTTTTAAGTGTACTTTTATTTTTTATTATTAAAATTATTAATTTTATAAAAATAATAATAAATAAATAAATTATAAATTATAATAGTATAGTCATAAACTAATTTTTATTTTTAATAAAGAAAATTTTATATTAGTTTATAATAAAATTTTCTTTATTAAATATAAAATTTTCTTTATTAAAAATAAACTAATTTTTATTTTTAATAAAGAAAATTTTATATTAGTTTATAATAAAATGTAAAAATTTTTAATCTTTTTTTATCTAATTAGCAAATTTTACTTATTAAATTAATATATTTTTATAATAAATTAATGTAAAAATAAAAATATAATAATCACTTCATATTATTAAAAACAAAAAAATAAATTTAAAACTAATTAAATTAGTGTTAATTTGTTAATAAAATTAAAAAATTTTAATCTGTTAATAATTTGGTAAAAAAATTATGTTATGTAACTTTTTTAATCTACTAATAATTTGAATCTTAGTCGCTAATTGTTAGTTTCAAATTATTAAATAAAAAATTTACCAAACAAATTGGTTTGTAATAGTTTTGAAATAAATAAGTTAATCAAACATTTATTTTTAGTAATTTGTACAAAATCACTAATTATTACCTCAAAGCCATCATACTAAATAGACCTTAAGAGATATAACGAAATTACTTTTCATTATATAATCTAAAGATATATTAAAGCAAAACCAAAAAATCCTTTTTGTGTTCACACTGAATGTTCACATTTGTTCACACGTATAAACTATATAATTTTACCTTCTAAACCCCTGAATTGGATCAGAACTGGATTGGAACCAGTTCAAATACTTCTTTTCACACTACATCAAATTTAATGATAGGGGTGGAGTTATTATTATATCCTAAATAATTAATGTCATAC